AGCCTGAGTGTCAGACTGAAGCTCTCAGAACCTTCAGTCTGACATGGCTTCCACTGAAGGCGATTTACAAGGGGGAGGGAATTTGATTTTTCCCTAACCAATCAGTAGAGATCAACGACTCACCCAGAATCTGACGTCATTAGTATCCATGCGTCGGGGGTGCTGAAAACAAGCGAGCATTGCCCGTTTAAAATGTCTCCGTCGTCGAGCACGCCCAGCTGCATCACCGTTAAATCCAGTTTAGCAGCTTCCTTAATTTGGTCCTCCATTAACGCGAGTAGTGGCGAAATACCTCGATAGCATCGTTAATGTGGTCTGTAGGATCTGTAGCGGTTGCCATTGTTGCTATCCTTACCAGTTACCCACCGGTATACAGCTTGACATCAGCGTGGCGCTGATTGGCTAATCGCTAGACCCGCCCCCACCCCCGGCGTTCATTGATCCTTCCATCATTTGGACGAGATAAATCGCAAATTCATTGAAGTATGCCAGACCAGAGATGCAAGCCTACTCAGTTGAGTGGGCGGGGTCTATGGTCTGGAACCAGGCTACTGTGTGAGACCTCCAGGGCTGATGATTGAAGCCAACACAAAGAACCAAACACCGCAGTTTCTTTGATGGTCACTTGAGGCTGACTCCAAGAGTGAGTCAATCCTTACAGATCTCCATGTTAAAATGACTAACTTTACAGCAGAAATAATGACTAACTTTAAAGCAGAAATAATGACTAACTTTACAGCAGAAATAATGACTAACTTTACAGCAGAAATAAACATGTTTATGGCGTAGTATAAATTTGGTCTCTATAGTTAATTTCCCCGTTTGTGATAACTGTACGGGGGGTGAATTTTTATACAATTCACCTGTTTAAAAGTTCATTCATCTTCTAACCACTTCATCCTCTTGAGGGTCGCGGGGGGGCTGGAGGTTATCCCAGCTGACATTGGGCGAGAGGCAGGGTACACCCTGGACAGGGCGCCAGACTATCGCAGGGCTGACACATAGAGACAGACAACCATTCACGCTCACATTCACACCTACGGACAATTTAGAGTTATCAATTAACCTAGTCCCCAATCTGCATGTCTTTGGACTGTGGGAGGAAGCCGGAGCGCCCGGAGAAAACCCACACTGATACGGGGAGAACATGCAAACTCTGCACAGAAGGGCTCCCACACCCGGGAACAAACCGGCAACCCTCTTGCTGTGAGGCGACAGTGCTAACCACCACACCACCGTGCCGCTCTCTGTTTAAAAGTTATCAAGGCCAAAAGTTAGAAATAATTAAGGGTATGGCTACTGTGAGTGACAGGTGGCTGCCGTTTGTTGAAAAGTTGCTACCATGGTGACAACATTAGTGAGGTAACGTAACAATCCAATGTATCCTCATAGAACAATTTGTATGATATCCTATAAATTAGAGCCCTACAAATGGCATTGCGTCTTTTACGTAAAGTTACATAATTAATGTAAAGGTTAGGTTTAGGAAAAGAATCATGACATACCTTAAAATGACTCAAATTTTACTCAAAGTTCACACAGTTCCGAAAACGCGCCCCTGAGGAAAAGTCCCAGGTGAAAGTCCATTGTTTTGTGAACCATCCAACATGCTGACAACACCAATGAGGTAACGTAACCATCCAACATATCCTCATGGAACGGTATGTAAATTATCCTATAAATTAGCGCCGCTTGAATGACATTACACCCTCAATGTAAAGTTACATAATTAATGATAAGTTACATAGGTTAGGTTTAGGCCAGTAAAGTTACTGTGATTAGGTTTAGAGAAAGAAACACAGTGAGAACACGCCTTAATGACTCAAAGGTCACACAATTCCGAACATGTGTCTCCATGGGAAACTTCTGGGGGAAAGTCTTAAGTTTTGTGACCCATCCACCACCCCAACCTGCCTCTTTACAAGACCACTCAGGACCACTTCCTTGTTAACTCCTATCAGAACATTGGTCATGTAATGGCAGCCTTCCAGAGCATGTGGGTTATGCACAAATTACTGGCTCATGATTATGTAAGATATGTACAAATTTGGGTGTATACTTTTCATAGCAAATGTACAAACAGTTAATGAGGATAGCCTAAGCCATGGCGTAAACCCAGATTTACAGAGTATAGGCATAGCTTTCAGTTCATGAAAGCTAACTGTAATGTTCTGGTCACCTAAAAAAAGTCTTATTAAGCAGTTGGTCCTACTAAAAGACCCTCTGAGGAGTCGGATGTTCAGTTTTTCCAGTAAGTAACTTTACATTTTGTTTAAATAGTTTTATGCCTTTTTCTCTTAGCATTAGCATCATCACAGTTAACCAGCTGGCGGGTTAGGTCCACCTTCTCATTGAAATATAGTCACTTCTGGCTCCTAAAATCCAAGATGGTGACAGCCAAAATGCTAAACTTGAGAGACATGTACGGCTGCACATTACATCTGAAGCCTATATGACACATCCCTGCAAACCACGCCCAATTCAACTTACGTATAAGGCCAAACTTAGCAATAATCCACTTCATTCATTGTCTTTATTTATTACACATGAAAACATTATTCACCTTCTAAGTAACAAGATGTAACTCTTACCCTTACTCTAAGCACCTCTCTTAACCTGGCACTTTATGCTAGCTAAACTAATTATATTAGCCTATCTTCAGGAATTCCGCTTCCAGACCAAGGAGTGAAGGGGGCTACGTATGGTGGGCAAGTCATGCAGCTGGCTGGTGGGTCATGTAGCTGTTCCAGGCACAGCTATACCTAATCAAAACTCAAGGCCTCAAAACAGAAGTCCACAAACCAATAAGTGACACCACGGTGGCTACGTCCATTATTTTATAGTCTTTGCTCATCACTTAGGCAGCAGTAGCACACTGTGCTCTGATGTGGAGAGAAACCTGACAGAAGCTCATATTGCAGATCCCAGAAGCCTGGCCTGCCTTGCACACACACACACACACACACACACGCACACACACTAAGTACAAACACATGCAGGCATGCAGAAACCACATGTGAGAGATAGACTCTGTCATTCATTCACTCCTTCACCCTTTTATTCATGCACACACACCTACATTCTCAGTCAGTTTACCAAAACTTCCTCATTCATTCATTAATTTATTCATGTACAAGCACACAAACACATCACACATCTGCCCACAGAGGTGAGGGGTCATTCCTCAGGCAGAAGCTCAATTACATGCTAATAACACACTATGGGGCTGCAACAGCACAATAAAAACATACATGTGTTGGCTCACTGACAGTATTAATGAGCAAAGATTCCAACAGCCATCACTGATTTACGAGAGACTATTAATCATCTGTTTCTAAGATCTAAATGATTTCCTTACTGTTACATAAAAGAGGGCAAGATGGCAGTATGAGTATCCTAAATCTGAATCACTCAGTTTCAAATTCCAAGACTGCACTATCAGTCTTCTGGATTAATGACGTCCAAAGTTCAGTATCCTTGCAGCTTGTCATTTCCAGTAGAGCCCATTCACATTTCCTTGCCAAAATGATGAATTCTTCTCCATGTCTAATGCTGCGGGCACTGCAAAAAAACCCTGGGCCCCCTTTAAAACGTTTCACTTGGGGCCCAGAAACAGTAAATATCCCCCCCATTATAGACTGATGCTGCCTAGCACAATGTATTCTCATAGAACGGTTTGTATATCCTATGAAAAATGCATGCACAACAGATTGTATGATATCCTATGAATTAGCGCCCCAAGAAATGACTTTACCACCTTGATGTACGGTTATGTAATTTACATAAAGTTGTAGAGGTTAGGCAAGTTAGATTACTGTTGCTAGGTTAAGGAAAAGAAACATAGGGAGGACATACTGACTTTAAGTTCACACGATTCTGAACACATGACTCCAAAGGAAAGTCCCAAGATAAAGTATATGTTTTTTTTTTACCCTTCCACCACCCCAATCTGCCTCCTTACAAGACCACTCAGGACTGCTTCCAGGTTTACTCCCATCAGTGCAGTGGTCATGTAATCGCATCCTTTCAAAAAATATGGGATATGTATAACTTTGGGTGCATTACTTTTAATAGGAAAACATACATACAAACAGCTTTTGAGAGCAGAATATGTGAGTATGGTATCCATGAGTATGGAATGACTACGACTGGATATTTTCACATTACTGTCTCAGAAAGACAGTTAGCCCTGTGATACTCTGGCAACCTGTCCAGGTTGTACCCCGCCTCTTGCCCATTGTCAGCTGGGATAGGCTTCAGCCCCCCCAGCGAATCCTAACAGGATAAACAGTTACGGAAATGAATGAATGAATGTCTCAGAAAGAGACATTCATAAAGCAAATTATATTATTAACAATATCCTCCCAACATGGAGAGGATTTTGTCCCACTCTGCCTCATATGTAATGGTTTTTGATGGTGCTGATATTTTCAGTCTTAAATAATACAAGAATTTATCATTTTATTTCTATTCATGATCTATTACTTTAGTAGGATTATGATTTTATGTAGCCTATTGCAGTATGAAGTATAGATTATCAGCTCATCAGGGTTTTTTTTTTTTTTGGTTGTTGTATTTTTGTTTGTTTCAACTATCAGTTTTCTAGGACCAAAGAGAAGTCTTCAAATAGGCTACTGTATGACTAACAGTCCCAATCAAAGATATTCAATTAAAGCACTTCTGTGAAGCTGGAATCTGCAAACAATCCCTAATCAATTAATGGGTCAATTGTTTCAACCCCAAACTACATTATATTTAGTCAGGAATGACATAGCCTACTGGACCCGTGAAGGTCCGCGGACCTCACTGTGGGGACCTCAGCACAGGAGCAGTTAAATGGACTCTAACCGTTATCATAAATCTTAACTAAACATATTTTCCAGTGAGGGTTTTTAACTATAGCTCTTCTCTGTTTCTGGTGCAAACACAGCTCCGACTGAACAACCACAGGTAAAAACATGTCCGCACGTGTGAATCTGTTAACGCTGACCGTAGCCTACCTGTGTCTGCTGGCCGCTCTCTGTCCCGACTGAACACTGGACTCCGCATATCCAAGACCCCAGCTAACCCGGGCCAGCAAGAAGGCGAGCAGGTAAAACACCGTCTCCATCCTCATGTGCGGTGCGCGTTAAGTACAAAGAAATGTCATTTATTTCCAAAGTTGATCCTTGAAAAGTTTCGCGATTAAGCTGCTGTTTATCTTCAGTGATGCGCTGTCGATAAATGAAGATGGAGCGCCATTACTTCACAGGATGACAAAGTCCCGCAAACCCCGCACAGTCCAGTCAAGTGCATTTCAGATGGTGAATTGAAGCGGTTCAGTGTGAGTGCTGTTGCTGCTGCAGAAGAGCTGTGCAACAACAAGAAAGTTTCCTGTCGGAGATCCAACAGCACTCAGGGTCTCTCTCTCTCTCTCTCTCTCTCTCCCCCCCTCCGCCCCTCTCTCACCACGTACATGTTCTCTTTCTCTTTAAATAGCCCTCAATTCAGCTCATTTCAGTTCCATTCAAGTGAAACTGAAACTGCTCCTCTGGCACAGTAGGGTCATTTTAACCTTGCCAAAGTAAATTTACAACAAAATAACGAAGAAGAGATTCCAAAAGAGACAAGGAGAGTCCAGAAAACTTTAAACATCCCAACATTAAAGCTCAAAAACAGGTGGAATTTTTAATTAAAAAAAAAAAAGTGCTCTATATGTGAACATTTTGCATATCGTTCTGCTGCCATAGGCTGATAGGCCTACTAAACTAGTTAACCAAGTTTACTCATTTGTCATGAAATGCTAGATGTACAAAGGCTCTGTATGTCAAATTCAGAGCATTAATATAGCAGCAAACCATTCGCTTTGTAAAGATATAGTGGGCTAATGGTGTCCTGAGCAGAAAGTTCATGCTCCCTCTGTGTATGCTGTAATCCGAGCTTCTCTGTGGTTTGTTGTGGTAGGCAGTCTGGCTGCGCATGTATGTTAGCGCATGTGTGTTGCTCATTGCCACAGCTCTGCACTGTGCTCATATGGTTGTTAACACTGATATCTGGACTCCCTTGTCATTGAAACATAGCACCCAACATCTGGTTCCCCCTAAGTTAACACTCAGTACGTTTACATGACATAAGAGAAAAGTGATTTATTGTGTTAAGCCTAGTTCACATTACACGATTTTCACCCTGATTTTGCATCGCGGAGACTATTGTAATCTTTTGAGTGTTCATACCTGGCAACGTGTATTAGCGGGAGTCTCGCCAACTTTGTTACGACCTGTGTGTGCACACCACAAGATTTCTCCACCGAGCCCTCGCAGACACAGCCCCAGATAATGCGGTGACGTCACCAAACTTGGAGACGACACATCGTAAAGGCATGGATATTCTTTATTATCCTGGGTCCAAACACAACACGCTCCCCGTGATCCTGTGGACGCCGCCATTGTTGTTGTTGCTTGCCAGCTGGCTTGTCAGTGTTGCCAGATCTTAGGAGAGAAACAAGCAACCAGGGCTATGGAAACAAGCCCAAAAGAAGCGACTGCAGTCCGACATACTATCATGCGTTTAAATAACTTATTAGACGGATATATAAAGAGGAAGGTGACTTTTAGAAAGCATGCCCAAATAAGCAACTCCACTTTAGAAACAAGACCCAAGTCGCGGCTAATAAGCGGACCTGGCAAGTGGCAACCCTGCGGCTTGTCCTTCTCACATTTCTTCTGTCCTCCTGCGTGCTGACGTGGGACGTATCCCGCCTCTCATTGGCTGATACTCTTTGTCAGTCATGTCACACTTCTCCAGTTATCTATCATGCCAGATATCCAGTCCCAGTCGCAGACGAGGGGGTGACTTGTTCATAGGCTTGTTCACACATGAGGACCCGTCGTGGCAGACTACCTGCCAACTCACCTCCGACCCAAGGTGGCTCTCAAGATCCTCTGCAACATCAAAATAGCGGTGAAAATCGTGTAATGTGAACTAGGCTTAAGTCTACCTAACACCACACTAAAATACATGTAAACATGTTAGTCTGATTAAAATTGTACTAACTCGAATTTCTCAAAGTTGGACCAGCACACCCAGATAACGTTATTGGGAGTCAAATTGCTCCTGCATGTTTAACGTCAATCGAACCCAAACTGGCTGGGCTCTCTGCGCATGCTCCACAGTTTCCACCCCAGACTTTGACCCAGAAGTCGAACAGCATTTTTCACAACAAAAGAAAACGCCAGTAACAACATATTCAAAAAGTAAAGCATACAGCACGTACAAAATGTACAGAGCTGTAAAGTTGTCCACCATTGCACCAGTTTGCTGCCAACTAACCATAGCTAGCTTGTTTGTTGATTGGTCTGTGACGTAATAGGTCAACCGGAAAAAGGTCCAATACTAACAATCTGAAAGGGGGCATATCGCCATCTATCATAGCGGACTCCGACATACTTAGGTCAGTAAATCAATTCCCCTCCTGTTGTACTGTAGCTCCACTTAACTGTGCATGTAAATGTACTGAGTGTTTGCTCTGTCAGCACTGTTGTAGTTGATTATGAAGGTAGCACCATTAGCTGCTAGCTGCTGGAGTTGCCCATCATATGCCAAAAAAGTCTCTAGCTTACAGGATTTCTTCCTGGGTATGAGGCCCACTGAATATGCACAGTGGTGTTTTCCTGGTGACCTCGCCGCCAGTTCCCAGTTCTCTCTGCTCATAGACTTTACATTATGATGATGTCACAAATTTTTAAATTGTTTTTCTCCGGTTGAGGACACTTTTACAAATATAAAACCACTGTGGCTTCAAAATTCATAACAGACAGAATCAAAACTGACTGCGGTTTGAGGTTGCCTGTTGACACTTTTACAGGCATCTCTTTTATAATGGTGGTCAATAAGGAAAATGCTTTTTGGGCCGAGGGTTTGTTGTTGTTTTTTTTGCTGAAATACTATCAGTGGCCTCTGGGAAAGACTGGCTGCAAGGCTAAGCAGCATTGCTAAATCATACGCTCTGAATTTCCCAAAGAGCCCCTTTTAATTTATATTTTTTGGAGCCCTTTGGGGACTTTTTGCCAATTAGCTTTAAATGAGACTATGTTACTTTTGCTAAACATCAACCACTATGGCCACAAACTGCAAGGCCAAATTGGATATTCGTTTTGCGAAGGGACTGTATTTTATTTATCAGAGTAGGGGGGTGCGGGCTGGGGTGTGACTTTGTTCATCTCTCTCTCTCTCTCTCTCTCTTTCCCTACATATATATATATATATATATATATACATACGTATATGTGTGTGTGTGTGTGTGTATCAAGACCTCCCCAGAGCTATAAATATTTTTCCTTTAGACTCCCTGAGTAACTTGCATAACCCTCCCCTCACCATCAATAACCATATTTCACAGTTTCTTGCTATGATAAATGGTGTGATTTTGAAAGAAAACGTGCCTTTAAAACCCACTTGCAGGTTTTGGGGTTCTGAGGGTATTTAAAACGAATACAAAAACCCCCAACCACTTAAAGTATAATGTCCCTCCCTGAAGCCAAATCAAAAGACATAACAACATGCTTAAAAATTATCTGAAGTGCCTCCCCTGTTTTGCACCACCTCATGCCTCTCATAAATAACAAACAGTCCCTAACATTCTTGATTTAGAAACTTTAAAGACATCAACCTTAGGCAACTTGACTGACCTAGCAGAAGTAGAAACGAGCCATAAAGTCAGTGAAGTGGCTCAGTCTGTTCCAAAGCAATACCTGTCCAAAGTTGGTTAACATTAGCAAACAAAAGCTACTGGTCATACCAGACCATGTACAGTTGAAGAGGCAAAACCCCTGCTATTCAGTTAAGAATTGCATTTAACAGAGAATGTGAGGTAACGTCATGCTGTGCGGGACAGGGCAGCCATTGGTCTCTGTTAACAAAGTGCATACCCTCAGTCCAAAAACAGGATAGTCTACAGTCAGGGTATGTGAGTGGAGGTAGTGCATCAGAGTCTGTAATCCAGCCTTGGGCTGTCAAGTCATATGGATCTATGTTGTTTATCATGAGTAGTTTGTCCAAATACCATGATCATATATTTTGTTCTCTTAACCCTCTCTCTTTTTGTACAGCACTTTGTAACCTAGATTTTGAAAGGTGCAATATAAATTTAATTTTACTAAGGCTACTTACCGGTACATATGAATTCAACTTTTCACTTTGTTCTTCTTTTTAAAGTTACACAGTCTCATTTTTAAACTTTAAAGAAGAATGTGATTGTAAATGTGAAAAATGTATTATTTCACCTGTTTTAAAAATCAACAATCAAACTGTATATGACAACTTTTAAGTCCACTTGGACAAGAATTCATTAGAATGCTCCCATATATGAAAATCTGGGGAATCTACTATGCTGTACAATTTTACAACAACTGGACAAACTCCATCTGCTGATGAAGATTGTGTGATGGTTTCAAAGGCTCCAGAATAGCTATAAAAGCTACTATTAGCTACTATTTCCTGAGGCCAAGAATGACTTTTAATTCGGTATCAAGTAGTTCTGACATTGGTAAATGCAATAATTTAGCAAAGAGAAAACTAAAACCCCTTTGAGCACATGGGTTGAAAAGCAGTTTAATTCTATTCTGCAAATAAAGAAGTGTGTGTGTGTGTGTGTGTGTGTGTGTGTGTGTGTAGTCATAATACAGTGCCCTTGCCTTCTTTGTCATTATCACAGTCAATCTTGATGCAATCAGCCTGTCTGCCCTGTTTCCCTTTTGATCAGTGTGGCAGATTCCAATCTGAGAAGTGGATGACATCTAACAGCCCAACTCATGGGACACACACACACACACACACACACACACACAGCACGTAGTAGCAGCTCCTTATCTGCTGGATAAGGAGGCTGTTCTCGAGGTGTGATTGATGCTGTTGTACTCCCGCAGCCAAGACAGAGTTTGACTCCCTGCCATGATTTACATTACACTTCATTTCCCCCTCTACCTCTTTCCTGTCATTATCTGTATCCAAATTTAGCATACATGCCAGAAAGTTGAAAATAAACCTGTGCAATCTCAGCAGATGCAAACTAAAATTCCATGTCATCCATTCTCTTTTTTCTCTTCGGTTATTGGTGTTCACAGAGCAGTCTCTCTTCCAACAGTTCATTTGTTGTCCCAGTTTATTTCTACATTTGTAGTCAATGAAGGCTGTATCTTCTCTACTGCTGCCACAGAGGAATGCCCAGCTCAGCAGTCCTCCCATCAGCCCATTAATGAGATCAGCTCTCCCAGCTGCTCTGTCACAGACTCCCCGACTCCCTACTAAGAGTGTAGCCAGGCATACTGAGGGGCATGAGACCCTTACAGAAACATATAGACACTACCTGCTCGTGCATCTAGTAAACATTATTCCG